ACACCTGATGGGCCCTGCTCTGTGTGTGACAGGGGGCAGCGCCCCAATTCCCTGATGGGCCCTGCTCTGTGTGTGACAGGGGGTGGTGCCGCAACCTCCCCATCAACCCTGCCTTGAGTGTGACAGGGGGCAGTGCCCCAACCCCCCAATCGGCCCTACCCTGAGCATGACTGAGGGTGGCATCGCAACCTTCTGATCTGCCCTGCTCTGTGCATGACAAGGTGTCGCGCCCCAACTCCCCAATTGTCCCTGCTCTGAGGCCAACCAGGGGCTGCACCTAGGGATTGGGCCTGCCCTCTGCCACCCGGGATCAGGCCTAAGCCAGCAGGTCGTTATCTCCTGAGGGGCCAGACTGCTCTGCCTCTACAGCAGCACTAAGGATGTCCAACTGCTGCCTTAGGCCCGCTCCCCAAGGGGTCAGTCAGACATCTCCCGAGGGGTCCCAGACTGCAAGAGGGTGCAGGCCAGGCTGAGGGATCCCCCCGCTTCCCCGCAAGTGCACAAATTTCATGCACTGGGCCTCTAGTAAATAAAGAAAGAAAAAGGTCATTTTCAAACATTTTTTAAGTGTGCTATTATCATAAATTAGGCTTTATCTGTTGCTTTTCAAATCACAGAAAGAATGAAGTGACCTAAATTCCATGGCTAAGTAGTTATGTGATCTTGAATAAGACTTTACCTTTGCCTCACTGTTCTTTATCTACAGAACAGAGTGGTTAAACCAGATTATCTCTAGTTCTTAAAATAATTTATGATTTAATGTTACAGTAAATTAGGGTTACTTCTGTCCACATATTTAACTTCAAACTTAATCAGTGGGCAAAGACCAACCTAAGGAAAGTCAAGAAACCTAGGAATGAATTCCAACTTCACTACCAGATTGACCGTTAGTCATAGAACAGGGAACAAACTCACTCTTCCCATATGCTAGATGGAGTGATACCTCTTAGCATTGTTTCTCAGATTGAACCAGGTAAATCGTGTGCATGTCTTGCAATCTGTATAGTGCTAGAAAAAGCAGAAGTGCTGTTATTGTTAAAGCAGATGTTTGAAATACTATGCTTTTCCCAGTAAATTCCAGGCTGAGTCTGTCATTTATCCTTAGGGCACGCGACTTGTTACTTTCCCCTACTATAAAGCATTGTCATTTTATTCAGGATATTGAAAAGGGTGCATTGTCATGTGGGGAACAGTGTCCTTCAGCTGTGGTATGAATGCCTGAAGGAAGAAACTGTGTTTGCCCTGGCTGAGTGGCTCAGTTGGTTGCAGCATACACCAAAAGGTTGCGGGTTCAATTCCCAGTCACGGAACATACCTAGGTTGTGGGTTCAATTCCCAGTTGGGGCAACTGATCCATTGTTCTCTGTCACATTCTTATTTCTCTCTCTCTCTCTCTCTCTCTCTCTCTCTCTCTCTCTCTCTCCAAAAATCAATAAAAACATATCCTTGGGTGAAGATTTTAAAAAAAAAGGACG